AAAATTTTATAGAGCCATGTACACTTGTATTACCGCAAAAGACAACACTGTTACAGTCATGATAAATAAAATTATTTGCAGGTCTTTGCAGCTTGGATAATCCTGCATTTTCACGTCTGTGGCCACAAAATGTAAATGAAGTTGAAGCAGCGGCAATTGTCATCTTTTCTACTTGTAGTAATTCTTGCAGAATCATGAATGCCTTTCTTTCTCCTTCCTAGATCTCTCCAAATAGATCCCATTTATCTGATTGGATTTCTGTCCCATCTTTCTACATATTACAGCTAATTAGTACCCCCTGATGAGAAACAGTTCACTGATGGAAAAAGCAGTTAGATAAGATCTGCATTAACAAATGTAGTTCATTTAATATCATTTGTGCTGCTGCATTATTAATAATACATAATTACCCTGCACAGGCTGGAAGGGAAGAATAAAACCGTTCTTTAATTTCTTGGCCTTTGCCGAGAAACAGTATATTAGAGAGAATAAAACAGTATTGGACTATTGGTTGCCATCCATCATAGAGCCTTTGGTGTCACACAGTTTTATTAACTTTGGGTCAAGCGAGAATTTCCGTATTTCAGCACAATCACAGGCTCCCCAGATACAATGATTGGGTGGAGTTTTGAACACTCAACTTCTTGTCTGAGAGTGTTAAATTAGGGAAGCCCAACAAACGGCTGTCAGGAAGCGAGAGTTTTCAGCCTGTTACTGAGAGTATTTTACTGCAGTCGATAACGAGCACCATGGTGATCGACAACTAATCCTCACGAAATGTGATTTACCACAGTGGAGGAACCCGACTTTGGTCTCCTCACCCTCTGGAATCAGAGTGTGCCGATTAGATAGGGATTCTGGTTAAGCCTGTGTTAAAATAATAAAACAAGCAGTGGTGAGCGTCTCAGAGGAAGCATGGCCAGCATTGAATGAATGCCTACTTCGTGCCAAGTTTTGCGTTGCACCTTTTACATGGATTCATTCTCATCACAAGGTCATGCTGGAGTCACTATTTTTATGGTAGAGGTCATCCAAATCCGGCAAGACCTCACACACCATCTTGAATGGAAAGTTTCTAGAAAAGAGGCCACATTCCCTTCCTTTCTTTCTTTTTTTTCTGTTGTGCCCTACTTTGTGAAATACAGTTTGCCAGGACAGTGTAAATGCAGGTGGAGCCGCTGTGAGCGTAATTCTTTGCACAGGTGAGGCAGGCCAGGGATGCTGGCCTGGATGCTGGCCTAGCTGGCTCAGAAACCACAGACCCTCTTTTCTCAGGCCTTGTACCCAAAGGAAGGAGTCAGGAAAGTGTAGACACAGGGCCGAACATCTGAGGCATGTTTATTTTCTGCAATTAAAGCTGCCTGTAAACCATTCTATTTTATTCAACAGCCCACTCATTTATTCATTAAATATTTCCTGAGCTCCTACTATGCCAGACATTTGAAAGGGGGAAAATTACTCAAAATAGGAACTTGAAATCTTTAAGGTAGAATAAGGATACTTTTGTTGTTGCCAGAGTTCACGTGCTTATTGTGAAAACAAACATAGAAGTAAATGGCTAGAATTCAGTGAGTTCCAGGAATAAGGTGGGCACTGAGGAAGGGATGCTCAGCTTGACTCAAGTGAGTCTGAGAAGGTTTGACAAAGAGACAAGCTGATTCTTGCCGAGTGAATGCAGTTTACCAGGTAGACTGGAAGGAACTTGTTTTCTCTTTTAGTAGTGGTATTACCTGTTTAAAAAACAAGCTACAAATACTATGCCACCTAATAGTTGAGTACGTGGAAATTCTGTTGCTTACTGGAATCAGGCATCTTTCTTCTGAGGGTCATGGCTCTCTATCAACATTTCAGTATCCCTTTGAAATGCTTTTGAACCAGAAGCATACAGGAATTGTTAGTGTGTATGCCAATAATACTGACAAAGAGAGAAGAGGATGGGTGTGATGTGGTTTGGTAACAGCGTTTATAGCATAACTAGTAAAATATTGGTATAGGATCTTTATATGCAGTGAATTTTTCCCCACCAGACTCACAGATGTGTCACATTTTTGAAATACAAAATATTGTGTTTTTCTTCTCCAAAGATTTTATTGTCTACAAGATGCAAGACAGAAAGTCCTCTGAAAGCTGAGATAACATCTGTACTATTACAGCAATTAGTTCAGGTCTTAGTGCATCAAAGTCATTTTATCCATCCATAATTCTCAGCTAAAAAGTGGGCACTTGGCTCTCCATTTCAGACCACAGTCACGGCTACAATCTCCCTCTGGCATTGTAAAGAGACAGCCATAGTTTGGTGAAGACCAACACAAGCAGTCACCAAAACTTGCTCCTCCTGAGTAGTCAGTGGAATGATAGTCCCAGTATCCCCTGAAGTTGCATAGGTTAGGTGACTAAAATGTAGCTAAGGTGACGGGAGCAGCACAATATACTTCACCGCAAGGCCCAGCTCCCAAAACCTCCAGGGGACATGCTCCATGCGCTTTCCTTGTCTTCTACCCACAAGTAAAGCAGAGGCTCCATTTGGAAGGAGTCTGGGTCCTGGCCACTGCAGAAACAAAATGAATCCAGAGAGTACCAAACCAGGAGCACCAATGTTTGATTGTTGCATAAACAAGAAATCACCCTGTATTGTGAAATTTTAGCTTGTTGTTTGCTTTGACAGTTGGCCAACATTAAGACACATAAGCTCATCAATTAGATTACCAAAATAAGTGGGCTACGAGGGCCCGTAGGGCAGGAAATTTCTGAGGACTTTGTGTGGAACACTGCTACTGCAGAGCAGATGGGAGGCAGGGGTAAGGGTGGGTGGCATTAATTCCTACTCACACAGGGTAGGGGGCAGAGTGGTATGAATCACCACTATCATGCAGGGTGACTAGGGATTTCTCAGTTTAAATGTCACTTTTTCTTGCAAGTGTTTTCTAATCCCACTCTTCAAGTTGGGTTATATAAGTCCTTAGAATACTGTAGTTTTCCTCCATAGCACTTTATACTCATAATTAAGTTATTGCTTTTGGTTGTTGATGTTGAATAACTGTGTCCTTCCCCTTCCTAAGGACTGGGACTACTTCATTCCTCACCACATATGTCTCTTGTCACGAATCGTGGCTGATAAATAGCAGGTGCTTATTGAACATCCATTCACTGGCTAGTGCTCAACTTTTGGTTATTTATTTCAGCTCCCAACAAACAAAAGATTTCTATTTTAGGAGATCACATTCAACGAGCTGTAAAGTCCTCTCTAGTTATTAGAAACTATAATTTTAAGTCTTTGTTCCTGGTTAGCAGCAACTCACTGACCTATGGAAAACGAATGCATGTACGTGAACTGCCACCACCATAGATACACACAGCTATTCTAGAAAAAATTATTCTAGACCTCGCCAAAAGCCAACCATCTATCACCTGGACAGCCACAGACAGGCATTGAAAGGCACACTCAAAACAGCCACAGGTGCCCCAGGACATAAACACACCTCCAAAGACACGCCCATCCACCATCGACATGCCCAGACAACTGCACACACATGGTAAAGTCATTTAACACCTGTCGGTTTGGTGACATGTGTTCTATGCTTTCCTACCTCATACAGTAAAAGAGAAATGCATCAATCCAGAATTAAAATAACATTCTCACCTCTATTATCTGTTCTGTTTTTGGAGCTGCTTTCCATAAATTGGTGTCCTCTGTAAGAAGAAGTACACAGGCATAGAGAGGAACAAATGTCTCTCCCAAAGTCTTCCATTATTCTGTCATTTACATTGCAAATGTCATCAAAAATGCAAATATATGTGACATCTCTAATTGTTTTAGATCTTATGCTACAATAAACATTGTCTTGGTTAAATCATATTTCCAAGAATAAAAGAGCTGAAGGTTTTGTTGTTGCTATTCTCTATATTTAGAGATACTTAGAGAAGTAAACAACTATAATATTGTTTTTAAAAGTTACCCATCCAAATAGTATATTAAGCATTCAAGTGATATGATATTTTGGATTAAAGAATGTGACAGATAGTGTCACTAGTCAGTTGGTGATATATGGCAATTATCCATAAATATTTAGCCTTATGCTAGGGGAGAAAGGAATAAGAAGATATAAAGGATAACAATAATAATAAACAGGTCACTTGGAAGTACTCTCCAGGAGACTTCAGGATAAATAGTCAGTTCTGGTTTTCTCTTTTTATCTGGAAGTTTACAGACATGCCCTTTGCACTTCGGAGTGGAAACTATTGCTCCCTCCATGGCTCTAATCTGCCCCAATGCCCAGTCCACAGACAGAATACTATTTAAGAAAGTGTGGCCAATCACTTTCAGATGTTGAGTAGGCAGCTCTTGGCAACAAAAGGAGGACTGGCAGCCAATGGGGCCTGGTCTTTTGCCCCAGACAGATCCTCTTTCTTTTTTTCCAAACAGTCTCATTCACACATATCATAAAGTTGACAGGACATAGGCCAGACCAGCCTGAACAGGACATGAAGTGAGTCACACTGTTTTTCTTTTTACCATGATTGCAAATCAACACATACACATGCACACACACCCTATTTTATGTAGGGAGACCAGGCTACAGTGAGCACTGAAGGTGGCATTCAAGCAGGCAGCATGTGGAAGACAGGTGATGATCCTAAGCTTTTAGTGGTTAGAGTTGGTCTATACACATGACTCAGTATTTTATTTGAGCATTAATTTCTAGAGCCACTTCCTCCCCATCTTTCGTGTTTCTCCATTACTCCTGAGCAACCTCATCTGCTTAGAATCATGCCCCACAGTGGACCTGGAGAATACATATTTAGAGCAACGGTAATGCCAAAATGAAGTTATCCGCTAACACTCAAGGAAAAACCAGCTCTTCACTGACAGGGCTTTTATGAGAATCTGATGAAAGCTACAGATCCTCTCCAGAAAAAAAGATGCGCATATCAACGTACAAGCATTATTTTGGATTAAATTTCAGAGTGTTCTTTTTATTTTTTTCTTTCATGGGTTCCAGAAGCCACGTCCCTGGAATCTCTGTCAGCCTGCTGCAATAGTCAAGCCCATGACGACATCATGTGGAAAGTGCAGGGCCCTCGGAGAGAGGCCCAAAACTACTACCCACTGGCTCCGGGAAATCAACCGAGTTGCTAAACTTCTCCAATGTTTTCATTTCTTCATTCTGTAAATAAGGCTAATAATACTGCCCCATAGAGCTATTGTTAGTTCTTTGAGAATGTCTCTTTCACCACTACATCCCTGGTACCTTATAAACCACATGGGATACATAAGAGACTCAATGAGTGAATGAATATATATGAACCCCAAATATAGTGCATGACACTGAAAAGGTATTGATTTAATATCATTTTCTAATTTTTATTGCAGACGCAGGAAATAAATCCTAATTCCCAGGTGTTCTGCGATTATAAAACTCGTTCCTCTCCTTGTTCAGCCACTCTACAGCACATTTCCCAAGTGATGATACTGCAGTTACAAAGAAGGAATATGAGGAATTCTTAAATGGCATCATTGTCAATTGTAGCGAGAGATTCTAAAAAAATACTTCAATATTTATACCTTCATCTCCCATATATTCCATTGTGTTGTAAATCCCCCTCATTAAATTAATGATATTTACCCATTTGAGGATCATCATTTCAAAGTTGATTTCTGTTTTGAGTCAACAGACTGGAAATAGAATTGAGAATCAAATTGATATGGAGAGAAAAACAAATCCTAATTTAAGTTTCCATTAACAATCAGACATAAGCAACTTGATAATACTTTTACTTAAGGAAAGTAACTTCCAGGAAGAAAGTGAACAAGGGCTTATCCCATTGGTCAGGGTTGAAAGGAAATGGGAGACAGGAAGTAGAAGCTAGCCAAGAAAGGGTCGGCTATAGGCTGACATCTGCGAGGGGAGTGACATGACACTAAATTGAGGGGGAAGCTAAATTCAGGCAGAGTAGGGACTTTTGTCTCATTCTCAAAAACTGCCTCAGCCACCCACTAGGTCAGCGGCAGCATGGTAGACAGAGAATGAATCTGAGTTCACACTCCTGGGATCTCCTGTGGCCTGGGAACAACAATAAAATAATGATGATAAGGATTTATTTTGTGCCAACCTGTATTCTAATTCCTTTGCATATTAATCCTTTAATTTTTACAAGAGACCTATAAAGGAGTTTTTTTAATCCTCATCCAAAGACATGTTTGTTGACTTGAGAGAGATATCAATGTGAAAGAGAAATATTTGCCTCCCATTTGCACCCTGACCAGGGACCAAACCTTTTGTTGTGCAGGATGATGCTCCAACCAACCAAGCACCTGACCAGGGTGGGAGTTATTATTATGATCTTTGTTTCACAGACAGGAAACATAAGCATAGAGAGATTAAATAACTTGCCACATCCTATTTTCTGCTTTACTACTAGTTAATACCAACCATCAACCCTGTGCTTACCAAGCACAATTATAAGCACTTTACATGCTTTGACTCATGTAACCTGACCAAGGATCCTATCCAGAAGACAGGCATTATTTTTAACCCCATTTTATAGATGAGCAAATGGAGACTCATTTATCTTAAGTAGGTCTGAAGTCACTCAGCTGGTAAGTGATAGCATTGGACCTCAGACTCACGCAGGCTGGCTCCTGAATCCACGCTCTTAATCAGAAGTCTTTAGTTTCCTCAGCTAGAACTTAGAAAATCTGGGTGGGGATTGAGCCACAGGTATATAGTGACCCTATGGTCAAAGGGTATAAACTGGGCCTCAGAACCTGAGACCCACTAGAAATCAGAGCATAATTTTAGAGTGTCCACAGACCGGGGTGGAACAAAGTAGGCCCAAGTCAACAAGGGAAGTGGCTGAGCTCTCTGGGAGATTCAACTATGCCAGAAAACAGACATTGATTTGCATCAGCCATCAACATCAGTGTGGACCACAGCAGAGTATGAGGCTAGCACTACTTACTACACTGCAGCAGGGAGCCCCAGGCACACCTGGAACTGAGTACCCACCACCCCACCACAGTGGCGACCAGCCCAAGGACCAGCATGAAGTTTGTGGGGGGCCTCCACCCACAGGACACCCCCGACCACCACAGATGAGAAATAAGTTTACCAAGATAGGATCTGCTTGGGGAGGAAAGGTGACCAATCTCTCAAAGCAGAAGGGCCAAGAGCCTTTTCCTCAATGGGCTTTTATTGGGTTCATTTTGCACAGGAATTCGGGTAAAGCTCATTAATCATTGTTCGGCAGTAAGGATCAAACAATAGATAGCTTACAAAGAACTACAAAGGCTTATTCTGAGTCAGGATCTGTTAGCTAAGGGGCTATAAAACTTTGGAAAACAAACTCATTTCCTGATCGGACCCTTATCATTTAATTGAGAGCAACTAAACAAAGCAGGTTTCACAGGATTTCACCTATTCTTTCTCAGGTCTGATTGCCTGGGTAACCCACCCTTTCCAGCACAGGGCTGCACTACCCTCTGTCATTGTTTCAGGCTTAAGTCAGGCAGGGAAAGTAAGGCAGCCAAGAGGTTAGGAGACTTCTTGCAAACAGAATGAGGACTTAGGCTATGTCAAAGCTGAGGGGTGAGGGTCCATCACTCTCTTTTGCAATAGGCCCCCAGATCATTCACTGGGGGCCCTTGGGATTGTGCCTGTCTTTGGTCATTCCCCTCTTGGGGAATCTTACCTGTCACTGGCTAACAGATCATGCATTGGGGGCCAAGCAGGATGAAGAAAAAGGAGCAGAAGGAGCGCCCCTGCCAGGGAGATACGCTTTGTCTCCTTAGTGGCTTATGGTCCCAAGGTCGCTCACTCAGCCTTAGCCATTGGGGTATTACAACTTCTGAAACTAGGCAGAGCGGTTACCAACAGAAGTTAATAGCGTTCACACCCCAACCCAATCTCCCACCCTCCAGCATCACAAGTCCACAAGGTCATTTAAGCTACCCAAGTGCCACCAGGATGAAGAGCCTGGGAGGAAAGCAATTCTGAAAAATTGAGCATTTACCCCCCTCTAGACTGAGTTCAAAACAAAACTATTTAAATTCACAAAAACTGAAACATTTTGGACTGGAAAATTTAAAATAAAGCTATTTTTACCTGCCACACACTGGGGTGGGATGCTCATGAGGAAGATTAGATCAGTTATTAGAAATAACCTACATTTTCTTTGAACATCTGAGTGTTGTGTGAATACACGTGAGCGTACGACTCCAAAGGACTCCAAGAGCCTGGCTAATGAAACACCTGCAGTATATTTATTAACAATTAGGATGAGAAAATGGACAACATACTGATCAGATCTGTGGTAGATGCAAAGCTGAGAATTATAGTGCATGCGTTAGGCAACAGAATTAAGATCTGGAAAGTTAGCCACTGGCTGGTTCAGTAAGACACCTCTAGCCAACACAGATTTAATCTGGTTAAAATGAATTAAACTAAGACTCAAAAAACCAGTTGTACAGACAGATGTGTTGTGACCATTCGAGTCCTGACAGGTTCACGGTGTTCAGGCAGACGGAAGAATACTCATGGAGCCGTGGAGATGTCTGACGTGCCTCTATTCCAGGTGCCACACACGCTGCCTGTCTCCCTGCATGTCTCTGCGTGGCCCTTGCTCCCCAGTGTGGCACATGTCAGGGCACCAGCAGGGAGCCCCTCGCCCTTCTTAAATGCTAGAACAAACAGAGCCAGCAAAAAGAAAACTATATAACATAGCATAATTCTGCACATTCGAGCCCACTTCATGATATGGGAACAGTTTATCAGACCCCGTCTCAAGGCTGTGTGAACACTACTTATCAGGCCCACTTCCAAGGCTGTGGAAACACCACTTCCCTTAGTTACCCAGGCACCTGGGTGGGGAAGCCAGCCTGCTTCCACTTACCCTACAACAGAACACTGGCTGAATGAGTGTCCAAGTATTTGAATGTTGACTCTATGGAAGATGCATATTAGATTATGAGGTCCAACAGAAGAAGAGTAATAACCGTTCTTGAGTCCTTACTATATCAGGCATGTATACCATCTCATTTAATCCTACACAGTATAGAGTACTATTTCTATTTAATCACATAAAGAAGTTAGGGTTCAAACCTCAAGGCCATACACCTAGTAAGTGACAGAACCACTGTTGAAACTCAATGTCTGCCTATACCCAACTGCCTCCTGAACATATAGCAGTCAATTTAAGGGGAAACAATGCTAGCACTCAGAATCTTCCTCTGAAATGTAGCTCATTTTCCAGTATCGCAAACAGAGTGTAGCCTGCTCCAGGCTGGGATGATAGAGATAAAAGAAATCAGATGCCATCAGCAAGACTCTTTCTTAATTCTTAGGTTTTATGATTCCATCTCTGGGAACTAGAGGAAGCCAGGGTCCCTATATTAAATGGCTTTTCCCCCAGTAGAATACGACCCCAAAACTCAGTGCCTTACAATAACAAATATTTTATTTTTCACTTGTGACCAGCTGTGGTTGGATGCCAGGTCAGGGTCTGGTCAGCCTCACTTCGCTTTTCATTCTGGAACACAAGGTCAGGGAGCAGCAACTAGCGGGGTGTGCTGTTCACACACAAGGGCAGGAGCTCAAAGCCCACGTGAAGCTTCTGTTCAGATGTGAGCATCATCATATTTGCTCACACTCTGCTCTCTGCCCCAGCAGGCTCTGCCTACTCAGTAGCCTGCATTTGAACTGCAGCAGATCTCAACCATTTATTTCCCTGTTAGGAAAGGAAACAGTTCTTAAGGCTTCTCCATTGCCCTGTGGATGGTACTACTTTAGTGAGATTTTGTTTCCTTTCACTTTTTGCTTGTTCATTTTGTTTTGCTTTTGCTTTGCCTTTGAAAAAAAAAAAAACTATCAGAGGCAATGGCAACCCACAGCATTCAGAACTAAAGGGGTTAGTAGAATGAATGGAAATATTACAAATATCCCCATAGTTTCCAGGCTATGATAAAAGGGTGCAGACAGTTACGTATTGCATCTTTAGCCATAGATACTTATTATTTATTTCTTTATACTTTAGATACTTTCCTCACATATAAGCCTCAAGTAACACTTACAAGGACTGTTGGGAAAAAAAGATTAAGAAAGCTGTTATCCATTTATTCCAGGGCAGATTCACTTCATTTGTTTGTTTGTTTGTTTGATTGATTGATTGATTTATACAGCTGAGTCCAGCTCGAGCCCCAGGGCATGCTCACATCAATTAAAACCACGGATAGAAGCAGAATGCTGAATACAAACAAAATCGACAGCTAATGGACTATTCCCTCAGTAAAGCACTTCGGTAGAACCTTCAAATCATTTCTCCTCACTGACCCCCTTGGGGAGAAAGCTGGGTTAACAGATGGTTAAACAATGTTAAGAGAAGAGAATACAACATTAGTACTATAGATGGAGAAAGAAAGAGAAACAGTGTGCAGAATCCATTGCATAATTCATTGGTAGAGCTGCAGGTTTCATTGGCGAACTTGGGGCTGGAGTTGGATATACAGTGATCTAGCAGAAGTAACCGAGCAAGACACCCTAGTTCTAATGATAAAGATAAAAGAGGCTGAGAATGAGTGAGGCTCAAACATTAAGTAAAATAATGTACATAGTAATAAACCATCATCTGGATTTAATAAGAATCTGG